TAGCACTGTGGGAGGTCAAAGTGGGAGTTTGAGACCAGCCCAGGCAACAAAGTGAGACCCCGTGTCTATAAAAAATAGAAAAAGTAGCCCGGCATGATGGCACACACCTGTAGTTCTAGCTACTCAGGAGGCTGAGGCAGCAGGATGACTTGAGCCCAGGAGTTCGAGGCTGCGGTGAAGCATGATCATGCCACCGCACTTCAGCTTGGGTGACAGAGTGAAATCTGTCTCAAAAAAAAGCTGGACGCATTGGCTCATGGCTGCAGCACTTTGGGAGACCAAGGCAGGAGGATCACTTCAGCCCAGGAGCTGGACACTAGCCTGAGCAACATAGCAAGAACTTCTTTTTTTGTTGTTTTTGGAGTTGAAGTCTCACTCTGTCATCCAGACTGGAGTTCAGTGGCACGCTCCCGGCCACCGCAGCCTCGACCTGCTGGTCTCCGGAGATCCTTCCGCCTCAGCCTTCCAGATAACTGGAACTACAGGCGTGCACTACCACGCCCTGCTAATTTTTGACTTATTGTAGAGATGAGGTCTCGCCAAGTTGCCCAGGCAGGTCTCAAACCCGTGGGCTCAGGCAATCCACTCACCTCAGCCTCCCAAAGCACTGGGATTTATAGGCTGAGCTACCGAGCCCGGCTAAGAACTTCTTTTATATAAAATAAAATAAAAAAGAAAGAAAATTAACCTCATTCTACAGTGCAATGTTCTTGGAATCTTGGGTTTGATATTATACACACACAAACACACACACGTATTATATATGTTTCTAATACATACATGTAAGCTGGGTGCGGTGGCTCACACCTGTAATCCCAGCACTTTGGGAGGTTGGAGGTGAGAGGATTGCCTGAGCCCATGGGTTTGAGACCAGGCTGGGCAACTTGGCGTGACCTCATCTCTACAATAAATCAAAAAACTACCCAGGCGTGGTGGCGCGTGCCTGTAGTTCCAGCTGCTTGGAAGGCTGAGGTGGAAGGATCGCCTGAGTCCCACAGGTCAAGGCTGCGGTAGCCATGAGCATGGCATTGCACTCCAGCCTGAGACAGAGTGAGACTCCAACTCAGAAAAAAGCTGGTAAACTGTGAGTTGGTTTTGCTTCTTGGAACCTCATCACTTATAAAATGGGAGCCACTGTATTCACTTTTGTAAGAATTCAGTGGGACTCAGTAGGAGAAAGCCTGACACAAAGTAACTGTTGACTTATTGCAAGCTAAAGGGATTTGAGGGAAATTGTCACTTGACTGTGAAAGACTTAGGAGCAGGAAGTGTCTGATCCAGGGACTGCAAATTCAAATGTCACCTGGGGCCAGGCAGGTTGATAATAAAGTAAAGCTGAGTGGTGTAGGATAAAAAATGTCTGGGAGTTAGAAGAAAGGACTTGTGTGACCTTGAGAAGGCAAACCCTGGTAGAAAGGGGTGGCCTCTGCTCAGCTAGTAATGACCAGATCTGACTTTTTTTTTTTTTTTTGAGTTGGAGTCTCACTCTGTCGCCCAGACTGGAGTGCAGTGGCCGCTCCCGGCCACCGCAGCCTCGACCTGCTGGGCTCCGGCGATCCTTCTGCCTCAGCCTTCCGAGTAGCCGGAATTACAGGCATGCGCTACCACACCCGGCTGATTTTTTGATTTTTTGTAGAGATGAGGTCTCACTGCCCAGGCGGGTCTCGAACCCGCGGGCTCAGGCAATCCACTCAGCTCAGCCTCCCAAAGGTGCGGGATTACAGGCTGAACCACCGAGCCCGGCTTCTTCTGACTTTTTAAAGAGAAGCCAAAAGTATGAATTTTGATGTGATATCCCCGACATTAAACTGGCACACAATTAAAGTTTACAACATTAGGTAAGGGTCAATACTGCTAGCCAAGCAAAAACATGAGTGGGGGCCAATACCAGCCAGTGATGTGCCCTCTCTGGCCTAAATCTTTTTTTTCCTTCTTCCTTTATCTGTTGTCCCAAAGCTGTGCTGGCATCCAGTAAGTATCCAATACATGTGTGTAGAATGAATAAACCAGTGCAAAGCTGGCGGAGAAATGAACAGTGAGCATAAAGATCACTGAACTCCTGGGCTAGCCTGAACCCCACAGGCTGTGTGGTCTAACCCCTAACCGCTTCCTCCAGGTGCCTAGGAGCTTTCCCCAGCCTCCTTGGCAGCTGGGAGGGATGGGCACTCCCCATTTCCTGGGGCGGTTCCTTCCCTGATTGTCTTTATCTGATTATTCTTTGTGTTCTTCCTTATGTTAACACATAGATGCTTTACCCTCCTGCTGCCTGTGTGCCTTCAGATCCCTGAAGTCAGGAGTTACTGTCATCCTTGGGGGCATATGTCTCCATGCTCCCAGCATCTAGGCACTGTCTCATCCTGGTTCTGTTCTCTTCACGGCACCTGTGACTCTAAATCCATTTTCTTCTGTATTATCTAAGTAAGTCCCATGAGAACTAAGAGCTTCCAGTCTCATTCACTATGGGTTCCCCAGCTCCTATAATATAAAGGGGGACCCCCCCAAAACCCAGAATTTTGGGGGGGGAGTGGGTCTCCTTGTAATACAAGCTTCCCCTACTAGGTAAGTGTTCTAGGAGCCCATGAGCATCCGTGCACCAGCTAGCATTTTTGTGAGAGGCTGCATTCGGCTTCAGTGAGTTTTTTTTGGAGATTCTGTCAACTTGTTTGTCCATTTATGATGGGTGGTTTACGAGCGCACCTGCCCACACCATGCTGAGTGCTCAGCAGTTTTTGACCCCAAACGGCGTGACTCCCATATCCCACCCTCCCTATTCACTGGATCTCTCCCCAAGCAACTTTTTTTTTTGTTTCCTGGATGAAAAAAGTCCTCAAAGGAAAATGTTTTGTAAGTGTGGAAGAAGTGAAACAAAAAAAGGCAGAAGCCCTAAAAGGCATCTAAATGGAACCAGTTAAAAAACAGGAGTAGTGGGAAAAGCATCTTTATAGGTGTATTGCATCAAATGAAGAATACTTTGAAGGTGACTGAAGTTTAAACATGTGAGAATAAATACACAGTTTTTGATAAATAATTCCAGGGTTTTTGGGTCCTACCTCGTATGTGCTCACCACACTGTGACCCGCCACCAAGGGCTGTGAGCAACCCCTCTATCAGTGACCTCAAGAGCACCTGGACTAGGCACCCTGTAAAGCTCTTGTCTTCTGGTGATTCTTCCTAGGAGAAGCCTGTGGGTTGGGCCTTCTCTGTTCCTGTTTACAGACAAGGGGTCTGAGTCTTCCAGAAAGGAAGTTACTTGTCCAAGGTTGCACAGCTGGTAAGGCTGGTCATGGGAATCCAGATACTGGGCTCTCTGCTTCCCAGGTGCACCTGTGTTTGCCCTTGGCAATGCTGCTTAGTGACAAATTGGAGGCCCTGGGACAGCTGCCTCTGACTCACTGAGCACTGAGGAAAGTGGAGTCTCCCTTTGTCCCTACCACTCGCCTCTCTCCCTAACTTGTCCCAACTCAAGTCGGCAGTTTACTCTAAGGAGGAGCTCTCCAGGCAGACTCCCGAGCTCTCCAGGCAGACTCCCAAGGGTGCTGGAGGGCAGTGTCATGGTCCCGATTCTGTGACTCAACTTCATCACCTGGAGAATGGGGACACTTTATTAATGGACTCTTGGGGGCTGTTATGAGTTAATACAGTGACTGATTAGAATGGTGCCTGGAACAGTTAAGTGCTCAATAACTGCTAGCTATTCCTAGTTTATAAAAATGTCCTCATTTAGGCTGGGTGCGGTGGCTCAAGCCTGTAATCCCATGCTTTGGGAGGCTGAGCGGATTGCCTGAGCCCGCGTGTTTGAGACCTGCCTGGGCAACTTGGCGAGACCTCATGTCTACAATAAATTTTTAAAAAATTAGCTGAGCGTGGTAGCGTGCGCCTGTAGTTCCAGCTACTTGGAAGGCTGAGGCAGAAGGATTGCCAGAGTCCAGCAGGTCGAGGCTGTGGTGACCGGGAGTGTGCCACTGCACTCCAGTCTGGGTGACAGAGTGAGACTCCAACTCAAAAAAGAAAAAAAAGCCATAATTTATAGAGAAAACATCCTCTCTGTTTGTTTTTTCTTTTTCTTTTTTGAGTCGAGGTCTTACTCTGTCACCCAGCCTGGAGTGCAGTGGCACAATCATGGGCTCACCACAGTCTCAACCTCCTGGACTCAGGCGATTCTCCCACCTCAGCCTTCCCAGTAGCTGGGACTAAAGTTGTGTGCCATCATGCCCAGCTAATTTGGGGATTTTTTTTTTTTTTTTTTTTTTTAGAGACAAGATCTCACTATGTTTATTAGGCTGGTCTTAAGCTAGCCTCAAGCAATACTCTTGCCTTGGCCTCCCAAAGTGCTGGGATTATAGGCCTGGGCCCTCTCAATTTTTTTTTTTTTTGAGTTGGAGTCTCACTCTGTCACCCAGGCTGGGGCGCAGCTGCATGCTCACTGCCACCCCAGCTTCGACCTGCTGGGCTCCAGCAATCCTTCGGCCTCAGCCTTCCAAGTAGCCGGAACTACAGGTGTGCACTACCACACCCGGCTAATTTTTGACTTATTGTAGAGATGAGGTCTCGCCAAGTTGCCCAGGTTAGTTTCGAACCCGTGGGCTCAGGCAATCCACGTGCCTTGTTACAGGCTGAGCCACTGAGCCTGGCCAGTCCTCTCAGTTTTAAGTGAATTGTTGTTACAGCCGTTAGAGCACCACTCACTGTCTTCGCCCCTAGATTGACAAGTGCTTCCTGTTGGGGGGGGTGAGTCCACAACTCCTTAAGCTTGGACATGAAGTGAATATTGTAACATGCAAATACTTGTACGTCCATTGTCTCATCTGAGCTAACAGTGACCTCGGGTAGGGCGTTTGCGTGACTCTCCCATGGTCAGATCTATGAGCGGTCCTGGTAGAGCAGGTGTAACTCTAGGTCACCCCCAAAGTCGCCTGGCACAAGATTCGAATGCAGACCCCCGCCCTGACCCTGGACCGCTCCTGCCGTCCTGTGCTGAGCCCTCTCTTCCCCCTCCCCAGCTGAGAATGCCACCAACACCACCCAGGCTGAGCGGCGGTGGCTGAGCTGTGACCGGCAGGACGAGATGCTCAATCTGGGCTTCACCATCGGTTCCTTCGTGCTCAGTGCCACCACCCTGCCGCTGGGGATCCTCATGGACCGCTTTGGTCCCCGACCCATGCGGCTGGTTGGCAGGTGAGGGGGCTGGGCTAGGGGGAGCCGGAGGGCGGCGACCCTGCTGCAGGGGGAGGCTCGACTCTGAGTGCTCCCAGGTCCACCCTTACCCCCCTCCCTGTGTCCCCACAGCGCCTGCTTCGCTGCATCCTGCACCCTCATGGCTCTGGCCTCTCGGGACACTGAAGGTGAGCTGTCTGGCCTTTCGGACCCCACAAGACCAGAGTGAGTGGGATGAAAGCGAATACTTACCCCAGCTCCTGCCCTTGCCCTCCCAGAGCTCCCCAGTGCCCTCATCTGCCCCCTCTCCCTTCCCAGTTCTGTCTCCGTTGATATTCCTGGCGCTGTCCCTGAATGGCTTTGGTGGCATCTGCCTAACATTCACTTCACTCACTGTGAGTATGACAGGCCTGGCCTGGCTGCAGGGCTCCCCTGAGGGGGGAGGGGCTCAGTGGACTCAGGTCAAGCGCATGTGTGAGAAACCCTGCAGCTGGCAGCCATGAGTGGGTGTGAGGCTGTGCGTGTGTGGTGGATGAGACTGCGTGTCAGGGTGTATGTTAATGCGTGTGTGCACATGTGCGTGCATGTGGGCGTGTGTACAGAGTCCCTGAATATCTCCTGGACTCTGGTCTAGGCACTGGGGCTACAGCACAAACAGGACTGAATGTCTTCCTTTCCCAGAGCTCACATTTGGGGGATGAGGTGGATAGACAGCCCAATAAGCAAGTAACCTAATACATTACGTGAGTTCATAAGTCCCGGGAAGAAAATAAAGCTGGGTAATATGATAGTGAGGAGGCGGGAGCAGTGTGGGACAGAGAGAGTGGACGATGACACTGTCCACGTGAAAGGGTATGAGTGTGTTTGTGTGAGTGTGTTAGGTTGAGCTGTATGAAGTTGTTGACACGTGGCCGTGCGTGACCTACACAAATGGCTTTTGCACATGGCTCGACCTATTACATATGTGTGCGCGTTTCTCTAAGTGTATATATTTGTGTGTGTGAGTGATTATAAGGGTTAAAAGCTTAGGAGTGTGTCGGGGGCGGGAGGGAAGAAGGTTCCCAGCTGGGCTGGCTCTGGACTGTTTATCTCGGATGAGGGGATGAGAGCCGACTGACGGCCAAACTGGGTGTTTTTGGCTGAATTTCACCTCACCCCAGCAGCCGCCCTTAATTCCAACCGGGAACATTTCACAACTCTCAAAGGAAGGAAGCGGATCCCTTTCTCCCCGCCCCTCTCCGCAGCCCTTTTTCCACGCTGTGCAGCTTGGCTCAGGACTCTAAATCCCTTCTCCCCGGGGCGGGCGCGGGGCTTGACCTCGGACCCTGCCCTGGCCCCGGAGTGGGGCTTGCCCGCGGCTCCTCCCACAATCTTCCGGCTGCCTGTAATCTCCAGCCAATGGCAGGGGTCGGCTCCGCTCCCGCCCCCTCCCCGCCCTCTGGCAGGCCTCGCCCCCGGGCTGCGCGCTAGGTGGGACAGGGACACCCAGTGCCGCGTCCTGCAGCTGGCAGCTGTTGGCACCGGCCATTGCCGCCACTGCCCTCGCGTCCAGCCCTTCAGCCTGGGGCCGGCGGGCCGGCCTCGCCCTGCCCACGGTGCTGGGCAGAGACAGCACCTGCGGGCCCTTGCGGGGAGGGGCCCCGCCGCCCTCCAGGGCCTGGCACCCTTCCCTGGCGTCCTTGGCTGCATGCCTCACAGACACAGAGTGTCAGGGAAGCCTCTGCCCCAGTGGGGGCCAACCTGGCTCCACTCTCTTTCCTCAGCCACTCGGTAGGGGATTCAGTTCTATTTGAACACCTTTCCTAGAGCCATTTGAGGTCTTCCTTCACAGCGTCGGTTTCCGCCTCCACGGAGGGGGTTTATGCTTTGAATGGGGTTTATGCTTTGTATGGCATTAAGGACCTTCCCAGCTATGGGCTCTGGTGACCTGCGATGGGTGGTGGGGCCAGAGGGGTGTGCGCATGCGCAAAGGACGTCGTGACTTTGCCGTCCCTTTCCCTGAGGGCCTGGCTCAGACCAGTGAGCAGAACGCACAATCAATTCTCCGCTGGTGAGGGTTCTGGGCCGCTCTGCACGTCACAGCCGTGCCCTCTGGAGCCCTGGGCAGCTCCTGCTCCCTCCCTTACCCCACCCTCACCTCCCTGGCCCTTCCCAGGACTTGTCCTGATTCAACAGAAGCTGTGGACTGGGACACTTGGAGCCACCGAGAGGGTTCAGAGCCACCATCCTGGTACAGGATCAGCCATGGTCACATCCTTGGGCTAGGGCTGGCATGGACACAACAGAGGAGAAAGTCATTAATGTGCTCGGAACTTGAGCACACCTTTTTCCCTCTCTGGGCTTTATTTCTTATCTAAAATGTGTTGCACTAGATCAGTGTTTCTTCTTGTCTCTCTTTTTTTTGTTTTTTAGAGACAAGGTTTTGCTGTGTTACCCACACTGGTCTCGAACTCCTGGGATCAAGCAGTCCTCTTATCTCAGCCTCCCAAAATGCAGACCAGTGTTTCTTAAACACCTGTTCCATGGATAGTTTAGAGGCCACATGATACAGGGGCTCCATAAAAACAAACAAACAACATGGGAAACCCTGGGGTGAAGCGCAATTAACAGAATTTCTCCTGGAGGGCCCTGCTGAGAGCCTTTCAGAAGTTCAAGTGCGTTATGAGTGTGTAGGAGGGGGGTTGGAGTGTCATTCCACACACCGATTTTGCCTTGGGTTTTTCTGTTGCGTCTCCCGCACGGTTGTGCTGGAACCGGGGACCCCGGGCGTGGGTCAGGGTGCCCTCTGCTCATGCTGCCACTCTCCCCCTTCAGCTGCCCAACATGTTTGGGAACCTGCGCTCCACATTCATGGCCCTCATGATCGGCTCCTATGCTTCTTCTGCCATCACGTTCCCGGGGATCAAGGTACGGAGCCACGTGAGTGGGGCGGGGTCCGTGAGGTCAGCTGGGTTTTCTTTTTGCCTCGATATGAGAGCTGGGGGCCGGGGTGAGTGTGGCCAGTGCTGACCCGAGGGTCTGGCTGTTGCCGTTCCTTCCTTCACCGTTGTCCCAGGGCAGGCTTCCTCCTCTCTCCTGGGTCAACACGAGCTTCTCAGCGGCTCCCTCTGCCCCTGTTCTTTCTAATCTATCCAGTCGCATGACTTCCAGAATGATCTTAGATGGAGAACTAGCTCACACATCTGCTGAAAACTCTTCCGTGGTTTTGCTTTACCTACGGAATACCTTCACATGCATTCAAGGTCCCTGACTCGCTGGCCTCGCCCAACCTTGGGGTCACCTCTTTTTCCACACCTTCTGGAGAGCCTGGGTGACTTGGTCCAAGGTCACAAGGCGAGTTCATGCCAGGCGAGATACTGGACAGGGCAGCCTGGTAGACCTGGGAGGCAGGAGGCCTGAGTTTTGGCTCTGGGCAAGCTGGGGGCTTCAGTTTCCTTCTCTTTCAAGTTATATCAAGCATCTTTTTTTCTTTATTTTTCTCAGTCAGGGTCTCACTCTGTCACCCAGGCTGGAGCCCAGTGGGTCTCACTGCAGCCTTGACCTCCTGGGCTCAGGCATTCCTTCCACCTCAGACTCCCAAGTAACCTGGACTACAGACATGTGCCATCATGCCTGGCTAATTTTTTGATTTTTTGTTATGTTGCCCAGGATGGCCTTGAACTCCTGGGCTCAAGCATCCTCTTGCCTTGGGCTCCCAAAGTGCTAGCACTACAGGCATGAGCCACCATGCCTGGCAAAAGTACCCTTTGATTAGGCCACGATACACTCCTCAGCCTCTACCGTGGGCAGTTTGTTCATTTAGAGGGCACTTTTGCTCAGCTTCTTGGAGGAGACTGAGAGTGGGCATGGCTGGGTGCTACCAGCTGTTCTGATAGACCATGGAGGGTGGGCAGTTCTCTCTGCTCTTCAACTAAAGGAGTAGAGTTTGAGGAACCAGATCGAATGCCCACATATTTGGGGTTGTAGCTGTTTGAAGCTCTGTCCTGCCCACAGAGTGGAAAGAGCCTCAGGGTCCAAGACTGCAAAGAAGCGGAGGCTTTCCCAGGTAATGTTCTGGGCTGGAGCCTGAGGGGAGGGCAGACATCAGTCATCCCAGGCAAAGGGCAAGGAAAGGACCTGAGGAAGGACATCTCTCTGCATCAGACTTCGTCCACCAGAGGGGCTGACAGACACGCTACACAGAATCCCGTTAACTCACAACCTGCCTGTTCCTGGGGCTAGGAGGCCTGGGACAGAGCCTTCCCCTTCCCCACTTCCCCCCAGTGCAGGCACCTGGGAGCACCTGTGAAAGGTGAGATAGGCCTAAGCTGACTGGGTTTGCCTCTCCCCCAAGGAATGTGCCAGGAAGGGGCAGGATCAACATGGTTAGGCCTGGTCCACCAAGAGGATTGATCTTCCTTTGTACATATTGTGGATTGGACATTTTTGTGTGAAAATACACATAAATGTTTATGGATTCCTGGGCAAAATGTATGTGCCTTTTAAAGATGCTGATGAAATCTCATTTTGAGCAAGTGGCCCTAAACTTCAGCATTTTGTGGGGACTCTCTGACACCTCACGGGGACTCTGGTGAAAGAGGAATGGCAGGTCTCCCGGGCCTGACTCTTATCTTCTGTCCTTGGTTTCCTCGTCTGCAAACTGGGTACAAGGAGTGAGATGGAACAGACCTGCCTTAAGGTCTCTGAGGCCTGGGCTCTGTCTGGTGGGGCCTGGGGCCCGGCAGCCTCCCCCACGGGCCTGCCCTTCTTCCCACAGCTGATCTACGATGCTGGCGTGGCCTTTGTGGTCATCATGTTCACCTGGTCTGGCTTGGCCTGCCTCATTTTCCTGAACTGTGCCCTCAACTGGCCCATCGAAGCCTTTCCCGCCCCTGAGGAAGTCAATTACACGTGAGTGGCCGGAGTGGGCAGGGTCTCCCCCTGCTGCAGAGGGGGCGGCCAGGGCTGTGGTGACATGATGGACACAACCTACTTTGGAGTCAGAGAAGGCTCTGCTTTCTCATCTGTACAATGGCCCTGTTCCTACTTACCCGTGGGTGTTTTTAAGTAATGGAGGCAGGACATATCAGGTGGTCAAAACGTGGTAACTATATTTTGGGTTTGGAGGAGATTAGAGTAGGAAGCACCCCAGCAATAGCACCAGATGCCACGTCTACTCAAATGGGGGTGTACAAAATAATCAAGCACCCCACCTTTTGTGGGGCAACCTGAATGCCAACTTTTCCCAGGCCCATATCAGTTCAGCAGGGGTCGGGGGCGATGCTTCACAACCAAGAACCCAGGCTGATGATCACGGACATTGATTGAGTGCCTACTAGATGCCAAGAACTGTACTTAGCCCTGTACTATTCTTAAACAGCTATATGATGCAGCTTCTGTTATTAACTCGATTAATAACAAAAGTACAGGGAAAGTGACTTTCTGAAGGTCATGCCATTGAAAGGGGGAGGGTGAATTGAAGCTTGGACTCAGGCTGTCTGATTCCACAGACTGAGAAGAACATGGGAACAGCCCAAGGGAAAAACAGCTGATCTGCTTCTCATTCTGTTTTCTGAGGAACAGACAGAAGCCCTGAGTTAGGGAGCTCATCGGGCACAGGAATGCTGGGTAAAGAGGTGTTCAGCAGGCTGGGCGCTGTGGCTCACGCCTATAATCCCAACACTTTGGGAGGCCAAGGTGAGAGGATTGCCTGAGTCCACGGGTTCGAGACCAGTCTGGGTAACTTGGTGAGACCTCATCTCTACAATAAATCAAAAAATTAGCCGGGTGTGATGGTGCATGCCTGTAGTTTCAACTAACTGGAAGGCTGAGGTGGAAGGATTGTCTGAGCCCAGCAGGTCGAGGCTGCAGTGGCCGTGAGTGTGCCACGACACTCCAACCTGGGCGACAGAGTGAGATTCCAACTCAAACATAACAAAACAAAAACGTGCTTGGCAGCACCTTGGTAGACTGTTGAGGGTGGGCTCTGTGTGGCTGGTTCCCACATGCCCTGGCCTGGCCGCTGGCAGGAAGAAGATCAAGCTCAGTGGACTGGCCCTGGACCACAAGGTGACAGGCGACCGCTTCTACACCCACGTGACCATTGTGGGCCAGCGGCTGAGTCAGAAGGCCCCCAGCCTGGAGGAGGGGGCCGACGCCTTCATCTCATCCCAGGATGTTCGAGGCACCTCGGAAAACCTCCCTGAGAGTGAGTGTCTGGTCTAGGTGCCTGGGAGTCAGGAAGATGGGTTCTCATGCTTAGTGAGCACTCAAGTCTGAGTATTTATTCTCACTCCTCTTCAGTCTTTATAGCACCCCATGAGGTAGGTGGGACGTACTATCCATTTACAGATGGGGAAATCAAAGCTCAGACAGCTCTGGGAAGTTCAGATACAGGGGTCCCTCTGCTGGAATCCTGGGAAGGGAGGGAGGAAGGGAAGGGTTCCAGAACCGGGCCAGGGTTTACTCAGGGCCCCCTGCAACCTCTGAACCTCTTGCCTCAGATGCAGCCAGGCCAGCGAGCCCCCTGGCAGGGAGCTTCCAGTGCCTGGCTGGCCGGTGTCCCCTGCTGGACACAGGGGGAGCTGCACCCACCTTCTGCCGGGGCCACTTCCCAGGGTACCTGAGACCCTGGGCACTGTCAGCTTCATGATTAATAGTTAATAAAAGAAGTTCATTGGAGTCAGAAGATGGGGGTTTGAGCTGTGCTCTCCAGTTATGGGCTGTGTGACGTGGATAGATCACCTAAACTTGTTTTTGACTTCCTCATCTCTCTCTCTGGTTTCTTTCTTTTTTTTTTTGAGTCAGTAACTCACTCTGTCGCCCAGGCTGGAGTGCAGTGGCACAATCATGGCTCACTGCAGCCTTGACCTCCTGGGCTCAGGCGATCCTTCACCTCAGCCTCTCAAGTAGTTGGGACTACAGGTTAGCTGGGGCTACAGGCGCAAGCTACCATGCCTGGCTAATTTGGGGATTTTTTTTGTTTTTTTGTAAAGAGGAGGTCTCACTATTTTGCCTAAGCTGGTCTTGAACTCCTGGGCTCAAGCAATCCTCCCATCTTGGCCTCCCAAAGTGCTATGATTACAGGTGTGAGACACCACGCCTGGCCTTGACTTCCTCATCTCTTAAACTAGTACTAATAGTACTTAATGTTGAAGTTAATTGTGATGATTGAATGCCACCATGGACATAGAAGCTCTTTGTAAAGTGCAAAGTCATGTGCAGTTATGAGGGTGGTTACCCCAATGCCGACCCGCAGGGCAGAGTGGTTGAGGGCTGTGAGCTTGGGCTGGTCATGTAACTTTCTGAGCTGCAGTTTCCTCACCTGTAAAATGCAGTAGGGACAGGGTTATTGTAAAACTTGATTAAATGGGATCATACATGTTAATTGTGCAGCTAGTGTGCTAGTGTGTCAGAGTTAATTTTTTTTTTTTTTTGAGTTAGAGTCTCACGCTCTGTCATCCAGGCTGGAGTGCAGTGGCACACTCACAGCCACCTCAGCCTCGACCTGTGGGCTCAGGTACTCCTTCTGCCTCAGCCTTCCAAGTAGCAGGAACTCAGGTGCACATTATCACCCCTGGCTTATTTTTTTGTTTATTGTAGAGACGAAGTCTCACCAAGTTGCCTAGGCTGGTCTCGAACCCCTGGGCTCAGGCAATCCTCTCCCCTCGGCCACCCAAAGTGCTGAGATTATAGGCTTGAGCCACTGTTATTTTTACCACAGAAAGCGTAGGGTATACATCCCAGAGTTCACCTAAAAATGTTCTGTGGAGAGTCATAGAGCCAGCAAGGACGTGGAGGCAAGTGAGTCTGATACTTTCCATCTGAAGAAACCAGGTCTTCTGCAAAGTCAGACAGTGAAGGCTGGGCACGGTGGCTCATGCCTATAATCCCAGCACTTTGGGAGGCCGAGGTGAGAGGATTGCCTGAGCCCGCGGCTTCGAAACCAGCCTGGGCAATTCGGTGAGACCTCACCTCTACAATAAATCAAAAAATGAGCCGGGCATGGTGGCGTGTGCCTGTAGTTCCAGCGACTTGGAAGGCTGAGGCAGAAGGATCGCCTGAGCCCAGCAGGTCAAGGTTGCGGCGTCCGTGAGCGTGCCACTGCACTCCAGCCTGGACGACAGAGTGAGATGGATTAAAAAAAAAAGTCACATAGTGTCGGACCCTCCCCCTCTGAACGGCATGAGCTGGGACAGTCAGAGGGCAAAGGAAAGTCTGGGGCTCAGGGGTGCCCCCCTCTGTCTCCCCAGGGTCTGTCCCCTTCCGCAAGAGCCTCTGCTCCCCCATTTTCCTGTGGAGCCTTCTCACCATGGGCATGACCCAGCTGCGGGTCATCTTCTACATGGCCGCCATGAACAAGATGCTAGAGTACCTCGTGATCGGTGGCCAGGAGCATGGTGAGGCACCGCTGAGGCTTCTGGGGCATGGGAAACTCGGGGGAGGGTCACCTGGCTGAGCGCCCCTCATCGTGCCTTCTCTCCCTCTCAGAGACGGATGAACAGAGACAGAAGGTGGCAGAGACAGGTAGGGAGATGAAAGCAAGGTGGTGGCCCACACCCAACCCTGCTGCTGCCCACTCTGCAGGGAGGCAGGACTCCTCTGGGCCTGGGCCCACCCTGGTCACCCTGGGCATTTTGGGGTGTCTGAGGAAGGCTATTTTGGCGCCCTCTGGCTGCCGCCGGGTGGGGGGCAGTGCCCACTAGGCAGCTGGCTCCCTGTTTGCCAACTCCTGACCCCACCTCTCTTCCCATCCTGCCCAGTTGGGTTCTACTCGTCCATCTTTGGGGCCATGCAGCTGCTGTGCCTTCTCACCTGCCCCCTTATTGGCTACATCATGGACTGGCGGATCAAGGACTGTGTGGACGCCCCGGCCGAGGGTACCACCCCCAGAAAAGCCAGGTGATCCATGGCAGCAAGTGGTCAGACGGTGCTTCTCGTTTGCTCTGCTTTTACAACCAGCATCTCATTTCTTTCTTCTGAGAGCCCCGGGAGAGCAAGGGTTCTTCCTCCATTTGACAGATGAAGAAACTGAGGCTAAGAAGGGATATGGCTTGCTTGACATTAACTAACACTGAGTGCTGACTGTACACCAGGCAACTTGCCTTTCTTATTTAGTTGTACAGCAGCTTTCTGAGGGAGGTACGTTAATATCCTCATTTTGTGGATGAGGAAGCTGAGATGTGGAGTTGCAGTTAAGTAACCTCTCCAAGAACACACAGCTTTTAGTAGCAGGTGCCAGAACCCATTACAAAGGGTACACTCTGCAGCTTTCCTAAGCTCTAGGAAGAGGTTGACTCAGTGTATTAGACATCTGTCGCTGTGTAACAAATTACTCCAAAGCTTGACATCTACCCCAAACATTGATCATCTCATACAGATATTTTTCGTTTTCTGTTTTTGAGAAGGAGTTTCACTCTGATGCCCAGGCTGGAGTGCAGTGGCATGCTCATGGCCACCGCAGCCTTGACCTGCTGGGCTCAGGTGATCCTTCTGCCTCAGCCTTCCAAGTAGCTGGAACCACAGGTGCACGCCACCACGGCCCAGGTAATTTTTTGATTTATCGTAGTGCTGAGGTCTCACCCAGTTGTCCAGGCTGGTCTTGAATCCCTGGACTCAAGCAATCTTCTTGCCTCCACCTCCCAGAGTGCTGGAATTAGAGGTGTGTGCCACCGTGCCCAGCTCATACAGATTCTGAGTCAGGAATCCAGGAGTGACTTTGGTGGGTGATTCTGACTCAAGGTTTCTCATAAAACTGAAGTCAGCTGTCAGCCAGGGCTGCAGTGGTCAGAAGAATTGAGTGGGACTGGGTAATCTGTTTCATTGCAGTTCTCTCATATGGACCTGTCCTAGGACACAACAGTTGGCCTCCCCCTAAGCAGCAGAGCTGAGAGAGAGACCAGGACAGATGCAACAGTGTGACAATAACATAATCATAATATAACCTCAGAAGTAGCGTACCATCACTTCAGCCATATTCTATTGGTCACACAGTAGCCCTGGCGCATTGTGGGAGGGGACTACACAAAGAGGGGAATGCCAGGAGGCAGGGATCACCGGGGGTTGTCTTACTTGCTGGAGACCACTGTTGGGTCTTGAACCCAGGTGTTCTAACTGCTTTTGCTCTTTCTGCATTAATCCAAATAATCCCCATTTGTCCTGAGAGGATGGGAGTAGACTAGGACAGAAGGAACAATCAATGACTCCCTTCCTGGCACCCAACCTTCCTCCTCCACCCTCTGCTTCTGCAGCCGATGGCCAGCATTCTCTAGTGGGGCCCTTCTGTCTAGGGCTGATGGGCTGCTTCACCTCCCTCCTGGGCTGGCCATGAGATCATGCCAGAGAGAGGAGCTTGCTGGGCAGTTGGGCCAAGCCACCGTTTCCACGATGGCATCAGCTTTTGTCCAGGCGAGTGAGCAGAGATACCTTCCTGGAGGCTTCTGAGGAGAGATGATGGGAGAGCTCCCACTCCACCTTCCTTCCCATTCTGCATTCTCAAACTTCACTGTGTACGAGAAATACGCAGGGGGGGTGGTTATTGGTTCAAATGCAGATCCCCAGACTTCGCCCTGAGGCTCTGAGGTCTGAGGTTAGACCTATGGATCCACATGTTAAGAAAACCCCCCAGTGATGCTGTGTCATTGGGTGGAGGAGCCATTTTGAGAAGCACGGACCAGGCGACACGGTTTTCTGCCTTTTCTGCCACCCTGACAGCGAAGGCACATCTGAAACGGGAGGGGTCAGGCTGAGGACCAGGGAGGTGCTGGGGAGGTCGAGGCAGAGGCTAGTGACTCACTATTCTCTTCAGGGATGAGGCTGCCACCAAGTCCATCCGGCCACGCTACTGCAAGATCCAGAAGCTCACCAATGCCATCAACGCCTTCACCCTGACCAACTTCCTGCTTGTGGGTTTTGGCATCACCTGTCTCATCAACAGCTTGCATGTCCAGGTACCCACGTCCAGCCTTCCCCTGTCCCTGCCTCCTGGGCCTCCTCCCGATGGTTCTCCCTGCCCCTGCCTTCCGGGAAGCACAGCTCTGGTCCTCTGGCCTGGGTCTGACTACTGTCTGGGTTCTCCAGGAAGAATTGCCATAGGCTGGGGTGGGAATGTGTGCCCGGGCTCAGTGAGGCCCCGTTTTCCTCTTCGCCCTCCCCCCTCTTCCTCCTGCCTTGACACCCCCTCTTAACCTCCTCACTCGCTCTTTTTGGTTTCAGTTTGTGACCTTTGTCCTGCACACCGTGGTCCGAGGTTTCTTCCACTCTGCCTGTGGAGGCCTCTACGCTGCAGTGTGAGTCTGCTGGGCTAAACTGCCTTTCTGAGCTTTCCCCCCAAAACCAGAGGATCTCAGAGCGGAGCTGGAAGGACCCCAGGCACCCTCTAATGCACTGCTCCAACCCTTGTCTCCCTTGAGTGCTGACATCTGAGTCAGTGGGGATCTTCGAGGCTGTCTGGCCCACGCCCCTCTCTGAGTCCCTCTGGTGACGGGTAGCTCACGTCCTCACAGGCAGCAGACCTCACGGCAGGATGACTCCACTGTCAGAAAGCCTTCCCTTAGCGGAAATCGAAGTACGTGCATGGCTTGATGGCCCTTTGGTCCTGTGTCTGCTGTCTGGAACGGCCCCCAGAGTGGCCGTCCCCCTCCCGCTGCCCACCCTGAAGAAGTTTCCCAGCGGCAGTCTTGGTTGACGTATAACTTCACTTCTTCAAGCTAAACGGCCTGGTTCCCTTTCTTTCCCAGTTTCCGCTGCCAGGCACTGCGAGTGACTCTCCCCTGCATGGGTGATGCAGTGACATGGGACAAAATTGTAACCATTGTCAAATGTTTCCTCCCCCGCAGGCACAGGGCAGGGTGCATGTCTACCACTCCCTGATTTCTTTATTTTCATTTTTCTGAGCGTGGGGGTCTCACTTTGTTACCCAGGCTGGAGGGCAGTGGCATGATCACAGCTCACCACAGTCTCCACCTCCTGGGCTTCGACGATCCTTCTGCCTCAGTCTCCCATGTAGCTGGGACTATAGGTGCATGCCACCACACTCAGCTAATTAAAAAAAACTTTTTTTTTTTTTTGAGTAGGAGTCTCACTCTGTTGCCCAGACTGGAATGCAGTAGCACACTCATGGCCACCACAGCCTCGACCTGCTGGGCTCAAGCGATCCTTCCGCTTCAGCCTTCCAAGTAGCTGGAACCACAGGCATGTGCCATCATGTCCTGCTGATTCTTTTATTTTTATCTATTTATTTATTCATATTTTTTTGAGTTGTAGTCTCACTCTGTCGCCCAGACTGGAGTGCAGTGGCACACTCCCGGCCACCGTAGCCTCAACCTGCTGGGCTCTGGCAATCTTTCCACCTCAGCTTTCCAAGTAGCCGGAACTACAGGCGCGCGCTACCACACCCAGCTAATTTTTTATTTATTGTAGAGATGCGGTCTCACCAAGTTGCCCAGGTGGGTCTCGAACCCGTGGGCTCAGGCAATCCACTCACCTCAGCCTCCCAAGGCGCGGGATTACAGGCTGAGCCACCGAGCCTGGCTTGATTCTTTTATTTATTGTAGCACCATATTGCTCAGGCCAGTCTTGAGCCCCTGAGCTCAGGCAGTTCTCTCACCTCGGCCTCCCAAAGTGCTGGGATTACAAGCATTATTTTTGTAGAGACGAGATCTCGCTATGTTGCTCAGGCTGGTCTTGAGCTCCTGGGTTCAAGCAATCCTCCCGCCTCAGCCTCCCAAAATGCTGGGATTTACAGGTGTGAGTCACCACATCCAGCTACTACACCCTGATGTCATCCCACTATAGCTGTCTCTGTGAGGGCAGCTCCACTTCCTTCATCCGCTCAAGCCAAAACCTCAGGGTCTTAGATTCTTCTCTTCTTCCCAATCCACTTTCATCAACTTTGCTGCCAGCTTACCCTCTTCCCCATACCCCAGTCTGACCCCATCTCATCGTCTCCATCGCTGCCACCCGGTCCAAGCCACCATCCTCTCTAGCCTGGATTTTTGTGGCAGCCTCCCCAGGCCTGCCCTGGCCCTCTCTCAGGCTATCTTTAACACAGGGACTGGAATCACCTGTTTGAACATAAGTCTCTTCACGTCCCTCCATAGCTTCCCATCTCATCTCACTCAGAGTAAAAGCCAAAGGCTTTACCATGGCCTAAAAGGCCCTGCAAGGCCGGGTGCAGCGTCTCACGCCTGTAATCCCTTGGGAGGCCAAGGCGGGAGGACTGCTTGAGTCCAGGAGTTTGAGACCAACCTAGGCAACATAGCGAGACCTCATCTCTACAAAAGAAAAACGAAAAAAATTATCTGGGCATGGTGGTACACACCTATAATCCCCGCTACTCAGGTAGCTAAGGCGGAAGGATCACCTGAGCCCAGGAGGTCCAGGCTGTGGTGAGCTGTGATGGTGCCACTGCACGCTAGCCTGGGCAACAGAATGAGACTCCGACTCACACACACAAAAGGGAGGGCCCTACAGGATCGGACCCAGGACCTTCATGCCCTCTTGCTTCACTCTCATCTCTCTGCCTCAGTCACAGCAGCCACCGTGTGCCTCAGAAACCCAACGCAGGGGCCTTTGCGCTTAATGACTCCCGTTTCTAGAACATTCTTCTCTAGATATCCACAGGGCTCCCCTTTCCCTTGCTGTCCTCTTCTCAGTGAGACCTTCCCTGTCCATCCTGTCTGCAACCCCCTTGCCACCCACACCCCACCCCCTCCTCTGCCTGACTTTTCTCCATCCCGACTTAACACATTGTTTATCTCTCTCACCTGTTGTCTGGCCACCACCTGCTCCATCAGAATAGCACCTCCTCCAGGGCAGGGATCTTCCTGTTTGGCTCATTGCTTTAGCCTCGGTACCTTGAGCAGTCCCGAAACCTAGAGCTCAACAGGTATTTGTTGAAAGAATAAAGTGAACAGCCTCGTGAGGTTAGTGTTAACCTGTTATTCCTGGAGGAACTGAGGCTCAGAGAGGTTGAGCTACTTGCTATAATCACACAGATGGAAGATTTCTAGCCCAGCTCAGTGGACTTGAAGGCACGGCATACACCGTCGAGGCCAGGGACCAAAGAGCTCCCACAAAAAACACCTGAACTCTTTTTTATTTTTGAGTCGGAGTCTCACTGTCGCCCAGGCTGGAGTGCAGTGGCACGCTCATGGCCACTGCAGACTCGACCTGCTGGGCTCAGGCAATCCTTCCGCCTCAGTCTTCCAGGTAGCTGGAACTACAAGTGTGAGCCACCACACCTGGCTAATTTTTTGATTTATTGTAGAGATGAGGTCTCACCAAGTTGCCCAGGCTTGTCTCAAACCCTGGACTTAGGGAATCCTTTTGCCTCTGCCTCCCAAAGTGCTGGGATGACAGGTGTGAGCCACTGCGCCCCAGCATGCCTGAACTCTTAAGCACCATCCTCCCTGGCCAATGGGGAGGAAGCCATGTCTGGGAGAGCAGATGGGGTTGGGGGGGAGTGCTAGGCTGGGCTGCAGAGGGGCACACGCCCCTGATACTCCCCCCTCTTGTGGACAGGTTCCCATCTAATCACTTCGGAACGCTGACGGGCCTGCAGTCCCTCATTAGTGCTGTGTTCGCCCTGCTGCAGCAGCCGCTCTTCATGGCTATGGTGGGACCCCTGAAAGGAGAGCCCTTCTGGGTGAGAGTGGGCGTGGTGTGGGGAGAGCAGGAGCCCCTTTCCTAGGGGCAGGTGCTTGTATGTGATAGAATTCCTTGCTCATTTGGGGGTTCCCAAACTGGCGGCCCTTTTGGAACTACAGAGTGTTGAAATATGGTTCACCCCCACTCTCCCCACCCTGCTACTGAATCGGTGTCTTTCAGCTTGACTCTAGGAGTCTGTTTTTGGTTGGTTTTTTTTTTGGCTAATTTTTAAATTTTTTGTAGAGACAGGCCCTCGCTATGTTGCCACGGCTGGTCTCAAACTCCTGGGCTCAAGTGACTTTTCTGCCTCGGCCTCTCAAAGTGCTTGCTGAGGTGACAGGTGTGAACCACCAACTGGCCAGGAGTCTTTTTTGAATAGGCACTGAGTGCTTTGTAAAGTGGCCCAGTCGTGACCCTTGGGCCTGTGTTCAGGAACCACTGGTTCAATCCAGTCCCACCCAGTTTGTGGGAATCCTCTCTCCAGCACTCCTGCAAGGGGGTTCCTCTCCTGTTAGTTCAGATACCCCTAGTGGTGGGGCTCCCATCCTGCATGAGGCTGCACGCCTGTTAGAAAGGTGTTTCCCTACATCAAGCTGTCTCCCCGAAGCTGGTCTTGCATCTGCCCTGTGGAGCTGGCCACAAGTAAACCTTCCCCTGACGAGAACTGTGATGAAATAACCACTCTTATTCACTGAGCATCTTCCCTCATATTCACTACTAGCTAAGCATGATACCTATCTTGCTTTGCTTAAATCTCTGCCACAACAGCCCTGAGGAGGAGGCACTTAGCGTTTCAATCCCTTGTTCCAAAGTAACACAGTGAGGTACGCAGAGTGGGATGTGAACCGAGTCGGGGCCCATGTGAGGACCACTGTCCTGGGCCTTCTAGGCCTTCGCCAGGGTGTCCCTCCCAGCTCCTGGCACTGCCTGACAGCCTCCTCGCACCACTCTGAATGGGATGCCACAGGGTGACAGCTCTGAAGTCAGAGTTGCCAGCCTAGAGGGTCCCGTTTCAGGAGCAACCTAACCAGATGAGACTCCCATGGCACCGTGGCCTTCCTCATACCTACCCGGAGAGTGCCACGCCCTATGGGCACCCGCCAGCCTCTGCCGAGACCTGAGCGGTCTCGTCTCAGCCACTTGGCAGGGTTGCTGAACAACAAGTGACATACTAGTAGGACAGTGACTGACACAGAAGTGCCAGCTGCATGGGTCATCCTGGCCCAGGCCCTGGGGCAAAAATGGCTGTCTTCTCCTCTCTGTGGGAGGGTAGGGAGAAGGTCCTTGAGATGATTCAGGCAGACGGGAGTCTGATCGTCTCTCCTTGTCTTAAAGGTAAATCTGGGCCTCCTGCTCTTCTCGCTCCTGGGTTTCCTGCTGCCTTGCTATCTCTTCTACTACCGTTCCTGGCTCCAGAAGGAGTACGCTGCCAACGGGACAGGCCCCCTCAAGGTTCTCAGCAGCCCGGAGGTGACTGCATAGACTTCGAAGGCCAAGGACCCCGACGGTCACACCAAGGCCCGAGCAACCAGAGGGAATGACCCAATGGCTTTTCTACCTGTAGCGCACACACACAGCCAGGGATCCTGGATTTATAAATACCGAGAGAATCTCTATTTTTGTTACGACTTGCCAAAAGAAAAAAAAAAAGCCTTTAAAAAAATTCCCCAAAACAACGCTCCACCGATTGAAGACAGTCCCTGTGCTCAAGGGATTGGGCCTTCTGCCCCCTTGGAATGGAGGAGATTGGGGTGTGAAGGTGCCTTTTCTCCAGGTCTTTGTCCTAGGGACCTGCCTCCTGGTGCCTCCTGGGGGCTTGTGCGATCACTGAACAGGCTGCCCCTAAAGTCCCAGCTGCCAAGAGTGTGTACGCATGCCTGTGTGTGTGTGTGTGTGTGTGTGTGTGTGTGTGTGTGCACGTGTGCACGCGTGCGAGAGACACACAGCCTTCCCCTCAGAGGGCAAGGGTCCTGTGGGGCTGGCCGTGCCCTGGATGTGGTGTTGGGGGGAAAGGCCTTTGGGGGCTGGAGGGCGGGTTCCCTCCCTGGTGCTGCTTCTTGCCAGTTTTAGAGGAAATAAAAAGGGAAGCGAGAGACGGGGCTGGTGTGCACTTACTTGTCTTTGGCAGCTGGTGGGGGGGTGTCTTCCCACACCCCCATCCCTCACTCAGGCTCAGCTGGGCATTAAGCAGGACACTCAGCGTGCCAGCCTGTCCACCCCTGGCTGTCTGGCTCTTCCAGGTTCTTACCTGTGTGCTGTCCTTAAGTGCCTGAAGGGAGTCCAGATCGTGCCCCTCACTGCCCAGGGTTTGGGGTACATCTGGGAAGCCGGCCTTTCTCTGTATAGGGGATTGGGGCAGGATGCTCTAGAAAGGATGCCAGGGGATGACTCAAACTTTCCCACCAAAACATCCTCAAGGCCTGCCGAAAGTGACACTTTTGGTCATCTCCTATCTTATCTTAAGACTCCATGCAAATTTTGTGCTTCACATTATGCTGTATTTACATTTACTTTTAACATTAAGTGAAGCTTTAAATAAGTAAATAAAGTGAGGCTTTAAGATGACGGACAGCAAAGGAAGGCACCATCTTCAAGAACAAGAGACCATCTAGGAAGACATAACTTGTTTATCCCTGCCCCACCCCTGCTTGTGTCCTGGGACGTAAGCCTTAAAGGTTAGAGTAAGTCCCAGGATGGAGGGATGTCTAAAAAATCAGTGGAGAATCTGCCTGTTCTGCACCGGTATCTCATTTCATCCGAACGATAGCCCAAGAGGTCGATACTGTCATCCTGTTTGGTAGATTGCAGGGAAACAAGCCCAGAAAGGTTAAAGCACAAGCCCAAGGGCACACAGTGGGACATGGTGGAGCTGAGCTGGGGTCACACTGGCAGTCTGACCGCAGAGTCTCAGCTGTGGCTCTTCCTGGGCCCTCCAGCCCCATGGAGGCCCCACACTTCTTCCCAGTTCTGGAATACCCTCTCATGGCTGAGCGACCTCAAAGGCCTTCCTGGTCCAGCCTGCCACCTCAAAGGTCAGTTAGTGTGGAAGGCAGCATTACAGAGAAGTCATTTTCCCTTAAAGTTCTCTTGAGTTGGTAAAACAGACCGACCCACCCATTTTCAGAGGAGAACACGTGTCCAGGGGGGGCTGGAGCCATGACAAAGCCACTCAGCAGACCCCTAGCTGCCCTGGGTCCAGACTCCTGACTTCCAACAGTGTTTTCCCAAAACATGAAATCGGAATCGGACAGCACCCACCGACGGGTTGGGCCGGCGTCCAGAGGGCCCTCTCGGGGATCGCCGCGCTCTCGCTCCCGCACCCTAACTTCCCCAAGAGTCTGGGGGAGGGTGGCAGGCGGC